TGTTTTAATTATAAAATGCCCTCTACTGGCTCATATGTTGAAGGCTTGTCAGCTGGTGGTACTATTTTGAGAGGGGGTAGAAATGTTATGATATGGGACCTAGCTACAGGAATTAGGTAACTGAGGCCATGTTCTTGGGGGACATACCTTGTCCTTGACCCCATCCTCCTCTCCCCCCTCCACCACATAATCCACCATGATATACTCCCCAACTACAGGCCCAGAAACATGAGACCAAGTGATCATGGGCTGAAAACTTGGAAACGATAAGCCAAAATAAATCTTCCTTCTTTTAAATCATGTATCTCCAGTATTTACCACGGTGCCAACAGTCTAACCCACACGCCAAGCATAGAAGCCAAGTCATATTGGGGAAAATTCTGGTCTAGAGACAAAGGTGTTAAGAACAAAGTTAGGTGTACAAGGAGGGGAGTGAGTGAAGGAGAAAGCATGACGTAGTGATCGAGGAATGGACTGCTGCTGTGGTTTCAAGTGTGGAGCAGTTCTTGCTCTGTGGGAGTAGGAGTCATGAAAACTTGGGTAAGTGTTCTTTATCCAAGCCTTAGTTGCTCTGCAAAAGTTATTCCTGGAGAGAAGGGTTATATCCTCACAAAACCTTATATTGACTTCACAATCAAATGCTGAGTTTCTTAGGGATAATGAATTAACTCTGTGATTCTGTCTCCCCACACACAGATGCCAATCATGTCACAGCTGCTTAGGAAAATAATCAAAGCTAACAGAACATCCACATGGAGTCCTTGGTGCTTCTTCTGTGGTACAGTACTGCAAGGTGCTTACACATTCCTCTTGGACTGAATCACCTTGGGATTGGTTCTCTTCTCTGATTTCTACTCATTAGCAGGAATTTTCACTCTTTTGACATTGGGTTATTATGAACACTCAGCAACTTTTCAAGAACATTCTTTCTCTAATAAGGGCAAAATGATGTTCATTGCCTAATCGTACAAACAATAAACATGAAAACAGAAACATAAAAACCCAGGGCAGGAGAAGAGGAGAAAATATTTAGAATCATGTCAAGAAGAAAGGTCTTTTTAGTTCCACTTTTAACATAGAATTTATTTATAATTCATGAATTTTAAGTGTGGAATTCAATGAATGCTGGCAAATGTATGAAGTTGTATAACTATTATTCCATATAGTATGTCCCTCACACAAAAAAGACTCTTGGTATCCCTTTCCAGTTAATCTGCTTCCCTTAACTTCAGGCTCTGACAACCACTGATCTGCTTTCTTTTCAGATACTTTTTCTTTTCCTAGAATTTCATATTGAATTCACAGACATTTAGTTTTTCATGTTTAGCTTCTTCAGAAAAATCAGTCACATGCCACTGAGTATAAAAGCTGGAGAAAGTCAAAGAAAACATGTCTCACCCATCTGAATATCCTCTTACTTTTGATTCATCCTAAGTAAAAATACCCAAAGAAAATCAGGCTGTTATGCAAGTTACATTTTTTTCTAATACTTCTTAAAAATATATAATTATTAAACTTGAAATGCATATCTGGGTACCATTAATACTCATTTCATGATAAGCATATCTCATTTAGGAATGCACTAAATTAAAAGATCATGACATCCTCTAATATTTCTAAAAACCTTACTCTCAGCCATTGATTTAGACTGCTGAGTCTTTCTTATTTTATTTTTTTGGTCTTTTTGAGACAGGGTCTCCCTGTAGCCCCAGCTGTCATGGAACTCACTATGTAGATCAGGCTGGCCTTGAACTCATAGAGATCTGCCTGCCTCTGCCTCATGAGTGCTGGGATTAAAGGAGTGCGCTACCACGCCCGGCACGACTACTGAGTCTTAAGTAACTATCCATAAAATTTCTAGTGATAACTAAACCCTGAAACTAAACATTTTGGCTTTGCTTTCTATATTTATTTCCCATTTTATTTGGTTGGAATTAGAAAAAATATTAAAATATACAGGAAAACAAAAACATAACTAAAGAGACAGGGAAATCAAGAGAAACGTCATACACAGAATGGGAAGAAGTCCTACAGGGTGCGAGCTTTGCAGGGGAGTTTAACATCAGATAGATCAACTCAGTATTGCCATCAAACAGTGGATCAGGATAGCACAGCACCGTTAAGACATCAAAGAAGACTATGCCTTTTGGTAAACGAGGCTTTTTCTTGGGAAATTAGAATTCTAGGAGATTTATTTTATTTAAATAAGGAGAAGATCTGAGTTTAATTTTAATAAAGCTCCTGTTGTACACCCACCTCTGTGACAGCTGTTGCTAGCTGATGAACCAGGAAGTTGATGATGGAAGAGATGAGCAGTCAGGGTTTGGAGATTTGAGAGTTCCATACCTACTTCTCCACTATTTTTGGTTTTTGTTTTCCCTGAGGTGAAATTCCATCAGACTGGAATATCTGTGGTAACCTTCAAACACAAAGTGCATCAGAGGCTATCTGGAAAATAGGAGGGGGAAGAGTAACACCCGTTTGACCAAAATCCAAATTGTAGGTCTTTAATAGCACACTGATGACCAAAAACAGGAGCTGGATGCTCAATCTGTTGTGTTTGATTGCCTAACGGGTAGATTCATAGAATGATTCAGGGCTTTGAATAAGGAAGGAAGAATCTATTTTATTTGTGATGCGATGACCTATTAGAACCAGTTCCTCAGATCTTTTAAGCACTACTAAGTAAATATACTAAATTCTAGTTTAAAATTGTCTTTCAGGAGATGTCATTTCAAATGAAATCTTAGTTTTGTATTTGGTGATAATGTCATACCATAGTTCTAAACTCAAATTCATCCAAAATTGGTCTGGCCTAAACATAGTTGCATAAGAATGTCCCTAATTCTATTTTATCAATGTATGTAATTTTCTTTTTATATATATTTTTTAATTCTTATGAGTGTATTCCTGCATGTATGTAACTGCACCCATGTCATGCAATGCCTGTAGAGGTCAGAGGAAGGTCCTGGGTTTCCCTGGAACTGGAGTTCCAGATGGCTGTTAGCTACCATGCGGGTGCTGGGAATTGAATCCAGGTCCTCTGCAAGAGCAACCAGTGCTCTTAACCACTGAGCCATATCTCCAGCCCCACTAATGTGATTTTTCTATTGGTAGCAAGATTTCTGTGTTAGTCAGCTTTCTGTTGCTGTGACAGAATACCTGAGACAGTCAACTTTGAAGGCAGGAAAGGTTTATTTTGACTCATGATTTCAGATCTCAGTTGTCTGGCCTTGTTGCTGGGCAGAAGCATGTTCCAGAGGCCTTATGGTATTCAAGAAAGCAAAGACAGAGGGGAATGGGACAGGCTCCCAATATCTCTTTTAAGGACATAACCCCTCCCTCCCTTCCAATGAAAGGGTTTCCCCCTACCAGCCAGTCCCCAACTGTCACTTTGCACTGAGGTTAGAGGATTGCAGTCAACACTATTATATAGGAAACATTTAAGATCCAAACCCTAAAAACTGCATTCCTGTATTTGTTTTTTTTAAGACATGAGTCTTATGTGTAACCCTGGCTGGCCTGGAGCTCTATGTAAATCAGGCTGGTCTCAAACTCACAGAGATCTGCAAGACTCTGCTGGGACTAACACATATGCACCACCAAACTTCTCACTATTCCTCTGAAGATTGCTGTGGTTTTGAGCCAGTAATATTATCCAGGCAGTAATAATGTGTATATCACATTTAACAGCGTTGGTATATGTTAGCATTTTTACATTTTAAGCTTTTTCACTTAAAACAGCAAATTCAACTCAAAGATTGGAAGATCAAATTTTGCTTTTTAAAAAGTGCTACCATAAACAAAGCCTACTTTGTTATCAGAACCTTTTTTTTTTTCTGCAGAAAACAGCATAGAACAATGGTCAGTTGTGGATGCATGGATTCCAGGAAGCTACTAACTAGACGCACAGTCTGTACAGGTCCTGTGACAGCTTTCTTATGCTGATTTCCCCCAGCTACTTGAATCCTGTAAACCGTAATTTTATAAAATGCTATTGAACATGCAAAGGGCATCTTAGTTTTACGCAAAAATGCAGCTATCTATGTGAAACCTGAACAAGAGGATGGTCTCATGGAATTTGGGTGACGTCATCAGGGGTCATTTCACTTATTGGGGGTTACAAACTCTTTCCTAGTATTTAACGATTATAATGATATTTTGTTTTGTTTTGAACGGATCAGCTATTTGCTGATTGCTGACTTGGCTGGTTGCCTTTCACTTCGCAGCAATATTAGAGTCAGCTAGGTCTTATCCCTGCATTATTTGAGAAGGCTAAATTTAAACCTCCACCTTTCAATGCAGACTGTTTTCTACAGAGTCAAAACAGCCTTCAAAGGACCAAAGTGCTCAGCCATAGAGCGGGTAGGAAGGCACAGTCCCTGCGTCAGGTTAAAAGGGAACTCAGACCTCACATAGCTCCTCAGATTTTAAAGGGAGAGCTAATGGACCAGGAGCCACAAGAGGACTTGGGATCCCAAGGCTCCATCCTTCCTCCAAGCAGTAGACAAAGGTAGCTCAGCGTGTGGGGGCACCAGGAGGCGGCAGTGGGAGGCTCCTTGGCCCCAGCCGGGTGGCGTGACTCCAACCAGAATCGTAGGACAGGCGGGGACTGCGTAGGACAGGAGGAAGGTCCCGGCCGGGGCGGGCATACATGGTCCCCGCAGGAGGGGCGAGGCTGGGAACGCCCCGGGCCCCGCCCCCTGGCCAGGCCCCGCCCCTCGGAGCCGAGAACTGAAACCCAGGCGGGGACCTGGGTCACGCGCAGAGACAACGGGCAGCCGGGGGCCTCTGGGCGGGCGCCGCGGAGGAAGAGCGCGTGCCTCACGTCCGCCCGCTGCCCCGCCCCCACGCTGCGCACGCGCGGCCGCGCCCCGCCCCTCGTCCCCAGGGGTGGGCGGGGCACAGAGTCGAGCGGGGAGGCCGCGGGAGCGCCGGGCTGGCGAGTGCGCCTACCGCCGTCGCGTCACGGGCCCCGGCCCGCCCCCCCCCCGTGCTCCTTCCCCCCCACCACCACCCGCTCTCCCGCCTCCTCCGAACGAACGGTGACTTAAGCAACGGGGCGCAGCGAAACCCATTTTTTTCCTTCCTCGCAGCCGCGCCGGGGAGCTCGCGGCGCGCGGCCCCTCCGGCCCGAGATGAATGCTGCGGCAGAAGCCGAGTTCAACATCCTCCTGGCCACCGACTCGTACAAGGTGGAGCTGCAGCCAGGGGCTGCCTGCGGCGGCCGGGCTCGGGGTGCGGCGCGGGGCGGCCCGGGATGGGGCAGGTGGCGACGCCGCAGCAGCAGAGGTGGCTAAGGATGGAGCACGGGCGGAGGCGGGGCCTGCGGCGCGGCGGGGGCGCGGCCGGGAGCAGCGGGGTCCGCGGGCTGAGCGCACTCTGCGGCGGCGGCCTGCGCGCTGGCCCTGGTGGGCTGGCGAGGACCGGGCCCAGGAGGACCGGCTAGGTAACGGCCCCTGGCTGGCCAGGTACCCCTGCCGGGGAGGAGGTCCTGGCGGCGGCGCGCTCCGCGTCTAGCCGCTGGCCCCGGTGTGGAGGACAGATCTGTCGGAGCCGCGGTGGGCTCTGCGTCCCACTCTGCCGGGCTGTATTTCAAACTACTTTGCACCTAGCGATCTTCGTGCTGCAGAGTCCAGTGTGCTCTTATGTATAGGGTCTTTGCAGGATTTCTGTGAAAAGGAAAGTGAAACACGGGGAGGGGAAGGAACTGGAGTTTTAACCCTGGAGAATTTGGAGGGAGGGGAAGAGCACGTTGCTTTAAAATGCCTCTCGATTTGACTCCTGCCTTAATTTCATTTGAAACTCAGGTTAGAAAAGGAAGGAGCAGTGAAGGGCACATGTGCCTCGGTGATATGGAATAAACTGTCCTGGTCTTAGGATAAGTTTTGTTAGCTAAGATGCTTCAAAGGGACCAGGTCAGAAGGAACCCTCACTAGAATAAAATTTTAACTTTCAAGTTCAGGATTTTCTTAGGCATCATGGTTTTGAGTATGGTGATTAGGCATAATGCCGTCATGGTTTTTTGTTGTTGTTGTTTTGCTTTTTATTTTTTAACCCTATAATATTGACTTTTAGTTACTTAAATTCTAGTTTGCCCATTTCTTTATAATCTGTTCATTATAGATAGGTTAGTTTTCATTTAAATAGAGCCAGGATTTATCAACAGGTGGTCTTTCAAATGGAATTTAAAAGAGGAAATCTCTCGTGTTGCAAGATCATTATAATTTCAAATGTGGTGCTTCATTTGACTCTAAAGTCTGCTTGATTTCGTTCAGTTGAGGTGTTTTGAGGATCCTTGGTAGAGATTTTAGAATGGTCTCATGGTTTTGTAGCATTTCCTTAAATATGTTTAAATAATTTTCAGATCTTTTACTGTATTATTTGTGAAGTGATTGAATTTTAAATGGGAAAAAACAGTAGCGAAGTTCCTCTTGTCATAAATACCAAATTACTTTAAACAGCAGTTTGAGGTGGTGTTTGAGGATGTTTTCAGTTAGTGAATAACTTTGGTGTTTTCTAATCTAGCAAGTCATACTTAGCTGCACTATAATTTGTGTATCATAAGTTTTATTTCTGCCCATTCTCAGCAGGTGACATAAAATATCATTTTTGCCTTTTTTATCATAGGTAGAAAGGTGGCAGGAATGCTGAGTTTGAGGTTAAAAGTAATGAAACTTTTTTGGGAGGTGGAGCTTACATAAGGCTACATACTCGTGTCAGTTCTTAAAATTTCTCGACCAGGTGGAAGAGAACCTAGTAGCTTGGGTGTGTTGAAGAGATTTCCTCAACATTGCAAAATCAGATCCCTTGGCAGCCAAGCACATAGTAAGGAACACCTGAGATATATTTTTGCTGTGTTTTTAAGAGCAGGCAGAACAGTTTGGGCCAACAGAGGAGCATTTGAAGTATACATTCATGTTTGTAATCTCTCGTTTCATTGTATATAGTAAGGAACTAAAAACACAGGCAAATGTAGTTCTTCAGTTTTCATCGTGGGTTCCTTTTCTGTAAAAGGGCCTACTCAAATCTGTAACCCTAAGAGTTAATCATCTGTATTTCCAGAGTAGCTTAAGGCACAATTGGGTGCTAGGTTGTGGTTACATGGAGCTAGCCCAGCTAAGGAAAATGGATTTGCAGTGCTTGAGTAGCATTTGAAACATTTTGTAAAGGAGACAAGGTTTGTTTTTTTAAACTCACTCTTGGGGTAGCTACTGACTGGTTTCTGAATAACTGGGAAGTATTGAAAGATGCTTTTCTGTTGTCCCACATAGAAATTCTACAAAACTATATACATTTTGTTTGTAACAAACTACAGCAGAAAATATTTTTAACGTTTGTGAACATTTTATCTGTAGCAGATTAATAGCAGGATCCACAGAAGTAATCCTTGAGCATTGTAAATCAGATCCCACATTAGTGATGAAATGTGCTATCCAGTATAGCTTGCTTCTCAAGAGGCCTCTTACAAGTTGACTATCTAGAACATGCAGCACATTTTCAACCATTCATTTAGTAAATAGTGGAGAAGACAGTGGGGGAACAACAGCCTTTTACAATCCAGGTTGAAAGAAGGTTGATTTTTAGAGAAGGTTCAAAGAACTGTAGAACTTAACATGTAGTAATGGAGCAGTCATCATGTTGCTTTCTCTAATGGCCAAGTAACAAATCTTGGCTGTTTGAGCTTTATTGCAGAAAAGATTTGGAGAGGAATGAGAGTCATCATATGACTAAGTTAGTTCTGCCTGTTGTGGCCTGGTGCCTTCCTCTCCACTGTTCTTGTATTTTAGGCCTCTTTCTCTAGCAGCTCCCATGGCACCTGAGCCCAGTGATACGGAGTGGGACTGCTGGGACTCTGCATTTTTCTGTATCCTCAAAGACACATACGTGTGCTGGGAATCGGAGCACTCAGGAAGTAGAGGCTGGGAGGATCAAGAGTTTAAGGCCATTTTGGCTACCTTGTAAGTCCAGGCCAGCCTGAGCTACATGAGACCTTAACTCAAAAAAACCCCCCCCACAATTTACATATATATCCCCGTAAGCTGTAAGTTGTAGGGAAAACTTGGGTATTAGAAATAAACTGTTGGGCAGGCACTATTGCTAAGTGGGTAAAAAGTGTTTGCTGTCAAGCCTTATGACCTGAGTTTGATCCCCAGGACCCACGTGGTGAGAGGAAAGAACTACAAATATTTATAAAATGAGTGGTGCTTCAGCATCAAATAGCAATTAACTAATTTCTTTTTTTTTATTATTTTTATTTTATGTGTTTGAGTGTATTGCCTACATGTATGTGAGTGCACGGGTGTTGTGCAATGCCATGGAGGTCAGAAGAGGGCTTCGGATTCCCCTGGAACTGGAGTTAAGGATGGTTCGTAGCCGCCACGTGGGTGCTGGGAATTGAACCCGGGTCCTCTGCAAGAGCTATCAGTGCTTTTAACCACTGAGCCATGTCTCCAGCCCTGCAATTAACTGTTTTCTAGAGCAGCAGATTTCCAGGGCTCCACAACCTTAAACAATAACCTTTAAAAAAGAAGCAGTTAGGATTTTTCTTGTTTCTTGTGCGTTAGCTATGGAGAGGCAGAAGTCTTAGCCAGTATGTGGCTACTGAATCCTTTTCTAATGCCCTTAGGTATTTTATGGATAGTATAACTTGGTCTGTGACCTTGGATGTTATTCCATCTTTTTTTTTTTAATCTTGGCACTTGATTATTTCTTAACAGTTGAAATAAAAGTGTAACTGAATACTACTTGTAGTAGTTTCCTTTAGTGACTTGGTGCCATTGCTGAAGGAAAGATCTTGGGAATACATCGGGTCAGCCTTAGGAACACCTAGAGAAGCATCTAGAGAAAATTTCACCTATCTCCCCCCAGAAAAATTCTGTTTATCTTAAATCAGCCTCTTTCTCTCTCTCTCCCTCTCTCCCTCCCTCTCCCTCCTTCCCCCCCCCTCTCTCACCCTCACCACAACTGGCACACTAGAGCAAGGATATTGAGCCTTGTGAATGTACTTTTGATACAGTTGCTTGACCAGCACTCCACATTGGAAAAGGTTGCCCCTTGTTCTAAACTTAGAGCCAGAACCTTTTTGTTCCAGGTGTTGAAAGTCATGTAGTTAATATCTAGTATCTGACCCTTTTCGAAGCATTTTTTAGGCCTTACCTTTTCTTAGGAAAGTCAGTCACAGAACTGTGAATCTTAAGTTCTACTAAAGAGCTATATTTATGGGGTCTGTGTTCTTCACCATGTGCCTAGTGATGGAAAGGCGATGCTCTGCTAGCCATAGGTCCCTGCCAGTTTGGGAAACATTTTAGTGGTAAGGTTACCTAAGATTGTTATCAGATGTTTTCTGTTTTATCTACATCTAGTGAAGAATTTTATATTTATTGTAGAACCATTTTCTATAATGATAGAAATCAGAGCAGTGCAAAAAGGTAACATGATTCAATAACTTCGGTTTTGTATTCGCTTTTAATTCTGAGTACTGTGAAACTGCTTGTTAGTTAGTATTTGATAACACTTAAAACTAAGCTTGTGATATTCCCTGTTCATTCTTTCCATAATCTTCACTGTCTCAGTAAATGGCCCCCTTTCTTGGGGAAAGAATTGAGGTGGGGTCTTGTTATATACCCCTGACTGGCCTTGGACTCAAAGCAGTCCTCTGCTTCATTTGAGTGCTGGGATCACAGGTATGTGCCACAACGTCTGGCTTACATGGTACCCTTATTAGCCCAGTTGCTCGAGCCAAAACTCTTAGGAAGCATCTTTAATTCTGCCCTGTTATTATTTCTGAGACCAATCCATCAGCCTAATTCTCCTTTTCCTCTAAAGTGCTAGGCTTGTTTTCTCATCTGACTTAGTTGTGGGCAGAACTGTTCTGTTTCTGCTCTGAACATCCTGTAATCCATACTCTACTTTTTGCTTGACTGATCATTTTGTTTTATTGTGTATGTACATGGGTGCTGTGGAGGCTAGAGGTCAGTGTCAGTTGTCTCAGTCACTCTGCAACTTATTTTTGAGACAGAGTCTCACAGAGCCCAGAGTTTACTGACTGGGCTAGACTGGCTAGCCAGCAAGCTCTAGGGATCTTCCTGTCCCTCCTCCATGTTGGGGCTCCAAAATCAGGTCCTCAGGCTTATTGGTCATACACTTTTCCAGCCGAGCCATCTCCATAGCCTCCTAGCTGGGGATAAGAGATGTAGCTCAATGTTAGAGTGTATTCTTAACATATGTAACAGCCTGTGTTCAATCCCCAGTGTGGGGAGAAAAAAAAAAAGTGAAGGGTTGGAGGGAGGCTCAGCAGTTAAGCGTACTGGCTGCTCTTGTAGAAGACTCAGGTTCAAATCCCAGCACCCACATGGTGTCTAACAACTGTCTGTAACTCCAGTTTCAGGGGATCCAACACTCGCTTCTGGCCTCTGCAGGCACAGCACGGTGCACTTACATACATGCAGGCAATACACTCATACACATAAAATAAAAATAATATATTTTTTAAAGTGAATCAGATTATATTCACCCTGACTTACAGCATAAAGGTTTCCATCAATGCTTGGTGCACAGGCAAGCTCCAGTAGCAGCCTATATCTATGTAAGATCTTACCTACTCCTGACCTTACCTGCATGTGTGTAAGTGCACCTGTGTAATGCAGTGAATTACTGTGGAGGTCAGAAGAGTGCATTGGATACCCCATAAGTGGTGTTTCGGATGGTTATCAACCTTAAATTCTTACACTAAGCTACAAGAGTCTTTAGGATAAAGCCAACGTACTGAAACTGAGATTGTATATCCAAGAAGACATTGACTTTTCTCAACTTATTTATGTGAACAGTGGTCACCTGTGAAACATGGTCCACAAAGATGGCTTCCACAGTTGCCAAGACCCACTTACACCTTATATCTTAAAGCTCTATTTCTGTTCTTTCCACTGCACAAATATACGTTACTCTTCCCATCATTTTTTATTTGTAAAATATTTTAGTGTGGTGAAAACACTAAAATAAAATCGAAATTCTAGTATTTTAAAATTTTTAAACAAAAGTAGGTATATTTTTAACATTGGCTCTTAGATAAGTTCATGGAAATTTGTGCTAAAACCCCTTCACATTTTTTAACTCATTAAGATTAAATGTTGCATTGTATAGGGACTTATTATCCAATTAGGAGACAGACGGAGGGAAAAAATGACAAAATGGGAGGGTTCTGGGTTTTTTTTACATTTTTTAATTGTGTTTTTATTTACATATGTATGTGAGTGGGTACACTTGTGCCATAGTGCACACGTGGATGTCAGAAGATGACTTGGAGAGTCCATTTTCCTTCTACCGTGTGGATCCCAGGGATCAATTAGGTCATCAGGTTTAGCAGCAAGCACCTTTACTCCCTGAACCCAAAACTGTTTGTTTGGGGTTTTTTTTTATTTGCTTTTCATTATTTATTTTTGCTGTTTCTTTCATCCAGGCTTCTGTAGAACACTGTGACCGTTAAAAGGGATTCTTCCTCAGTACCTCTTAATTGCATTAAAAAAATGGTCTGAGAAGATTGACTACTAGCAAACCTACCACATTAGTTAGTAGTAGTAGTAGTAGTAGTAGTAGTAGTAGATCCAAAATGCTCCAAAATATAAAACTATTTGAGTGTGGATGTGATATGGGCAAAATTCCATCCCTGATTTCATAACAGATGGCAGTCAAAATATAGGTGTATTCAAAATACAGGGGCTGGGAAGGTAGGTCAGTCAGTAAAGTGCTTGGCTGTATGGGCATGAGGACCTGAGTTCAGTGTCCAGCAGCTACAATGAAAAGGCCAGGCATGTAGGCAAATACTTGTAATCCCAGTGCTGGGGAGGCAGAGGCAGAAGGAGTTCTAGGGCTTGCTGGCCAGCCAGTCTAGCTGAGTTGATAAATTCCAGGTTCACTGAAAAACAGTCTCAGAAAGATACCCGACATCGGTTTTTGTGTGGTCCCTGCATACAGCAAAACTACACATGCACCACAAAAATTAGAAAAATATCTCTCTTAATGGTGTATGCGAAATAAATGAATTTTGTGTTTAGAAAGTTCTATCCCCAAGATAAAAGTATAAGCAAGCTGGGAGTGGTGGCACACACCTTTAATCCCAGCACTTGGGAGGTAGAGGCAGGCAGATAGATCTCTGTGAGTTTAGGCCAGACTGGTCTACATAGTGAGTTCCAGGACAGCTGGGGCTACAGGGAGACCCTGTCTCAAAAAGACAAAAGAAAAAAAAAAGTATAAACAAGTATTCTAGAACTCCTTTAGAATATAATTTGTGTCTCCAAATGTCCTTCAGTGTGAATCCATCCACTGGGGCCTGCTTAACCTACCTAGAATCCCATGTTTGAAAGAGACTGACTCTTCCCCTCCCAGCAGCCATCTGTTGCCACAGTTTCCTTAGGTGGGATTGGAGCATCTTACCCCTTTCCTCATGCTAGAATTTTTTTTCTGGTTTGAGCTTACATGGGGCTTATGCATTCTGTCACCATTGCTGTGAGTTCATATGAGTAACTGATCAGCTGTCTGGAAAAACTCAGTTTCTTTAGGTGTTAGAATTTTTTTCCACCCCCTCTTCTGCAATGAACCCTGAGCCTTAGGAGGTAGACGTTTGATATAGGCATCCTATTGAGGGATAAGCACTCTGCAGCCTCTTGTTCTCTGCATGTTGACCAGTTGTGGGTTTCTGTATTAATCACCATCTGTTGCATAAGGAAACTTCTCTGGTGGGAGCTTGAAAGATACTTTAATCTGTGGGTATAACAGTAAGTCATTAAGAGTTAGTTTAATACAATAAATATTTAGTAGAAAAGTAGTATTAGGTTCTCTCCTGGGTCCTGTGAGCTGTCTAGCCTCAGGTTCCTAAGCCTGATACCAATGTCAGGTATGGGTTCTATCGTAGGAAGTGGACCTTATATCCAATTAAAAGGAGGTTGGTTACTCCCATTATATTTGTGTCACTGTTGCACCACTGAGCATATCTTACCAGGCCAGTTGTTATTTTAGTTCACAGAATTCACAACTGGGTGAGGAGGATGATTATTTTTTTTTTCTTTCGGTAGCATGCATAGCACCTTCCAGCACTATGAATGCTAGCCAGTAGAGAGATGAGGCTTTGAAGTCAGCACCAGCTTGATTTCTCCTTGTTTGTGCTACAGCTCATGTATGTAGTGTCTTCCACAGTAGGGTATTACCATTCAGTTCTGGTGTGTAACCAAGAGCAGGAACAATGGCCAGTATTGTTTGAGGGTCTATAGGTCCCCTGATCAACAGCGTCTAGAGAGGGAGTCCATTCCTGGCGTTAAGGAGGAGTTTTGTTTTGTTTTGTTTTGTTTTGTTATTAGTCTATGATGTCTAGAAAGGGCAGTGTCCCCCTGCTATAGGCTAATGCTTTTAATCTCTTTATGATATATGTATATATATTTTAAGAAGCGTCTGCAGTGGTGTAGGGTTCCATATGGTATTTTCTAAAGGACTTTAGTGTTACTTATTCCTACCCATACTATACTCCCTCCTCTGCCATGCCCTCCCATTCCCTACCCCATATAACCCTTCCTACTGTAATGTTGCCCTTTCCCCTTCATGTCATTGCATTCTACCATTGGTCCCAGGAAGCTTCCCCCCACACACATACCCATGGCAGATTATTAGTTTCTTGACCTCTGTATATTTTGATTTTTAAGATAAAGAATTATTAAAAATATTATAAATTATATACTTACTTCTTTCTCTGTGCAACCAGGAGGGGAAAAGTTGATCATTAACAAATAGAAATACAAATTCTCTGACTTGAGAATAATTTCAGGCTTTGTCTTTGGGGCTATAATTCTACTCTTGGTGTCTTCTAACTAAAATATTTTTCTTTATACAGGTTACTCATTATAAACAATATCCACCCAACACAAGCAAAGTTTATTCCTACTTTGAATGCCGTGAAAAGAAGACAGAAAACTCCAAAGTAAGGAAGGTGAAATACGAGGAAACAGTATTTTATGGGTTGCAGTACATTCTTAATAAGTACTTAAAAGGTATTGCTTTTCCCAGTACATTTAAAACACTGCTTTTATGTAACTTCATAATTTTTTTCTGTACTATTATTTTATTTGAAGTAACTTTTTGAGTAATCCTATCTTAATATTTAATTTTTGTAGATCACCACTTCAGGAGTTATTTTGGAAGTTTTTGGTTTTGCTTTTGGTACAGAATCTCACTCTGTAGCCTGGTTTTGGCCTCTGGCTTACTGTGTTAATCCAGATTGGCCTTAAACTCACAACAGGCCTCCTGTCTCAACCTCTAAGAACTGATATTACAGGGTCAATCTACCACTATGCCTGACTTATTTTGGAAAAATTTTAATCTGTTAATTTGAATGCAATAAATCTTAGAATTTGGTACGTATGTTTGATATTTTAAATTTAAGAACGGTTTTCTGAAACTGATGAGTTTTCATAAAAATTTAGGAAAGTCAGTAACATTATTTGCTAATAGACATTAGTTATTAGCATAGAGTAAGATTTATCAATCTGGAAATTCATTTTGAATTATGATAACAATTCTAAGTAGAATATTTTTTATTGCTTAGTTTTACCTTAAAGATTCATTTTTTCAAAACTATATATCAACAGTTATAAATACATTTTCAAAATGGGAATTTTCAAGGGTTGCGTGTTGAAGCTATTTCTAGTGTATTTTGTAATGGAATTTCAAGGTAGGGAAACAGTTAAAAAGCTTGTATACATCTTGAAAGTTTTGCAACAAAAATAATCTCAGTTGAGGACAGATGAAGTTTAATTTAATGCAAATGATATCTGACTTAAGGTCAAATAGCTCAGACATGCTATATTACTTAATACCTAGCTAGGTATCAAAAGTGCTTCCTGAAAAGACTGCACATGATGTCTTAAATGAATTTTTTAGTTAATCTTGGGTTGTTTCTTAAGGATGGTACATTTTAATTCAGTTCTACAGCTTAAAAGCTTAGGAAATTATTATGTGTGGTTAATTACAAGTAAGTTGTATTGATTGCCTCTTCTAGACCAGAGTTTAAACTTTTGCCATTCTCAATCCCTTTTACCTGAGAAATGTTTTCACAATCCTGAGTTCATAAGTGTATAAAATAAGTATACAAATCAAACATTTGCTGATAGCAGTAACATAAAAAAATTTATTGTAAAACAGTTCTTTGGTGTACATCTAATTTTATTGCTTTATTAGTGTATGCTTATTTTTACGTAAAGAATTCAGTCTTGGCTGAATATTTGATGCTGCAGAATGTAAACGATCTTCAATGTTTCTCAAATTGATCAGTATTTTGATTTTATAATCACCAGTGCTGAGAACATTGCTTCGTATAATTATGTAGTAGAAATAGCAGAAGTATGTTTAGGGCCATTTCAGAAATTGATGGACATTATGTCTTAGTCCCAAGCCAAAATTCATTGAACAATTTTTTAATGAACCTCAAATCAGAAGAAAAAAAATGCTCAAACAGCATTTTTAATTAATTTATTTTTATTTTATGTGTGTTTGGCCTGCATGTATATAAGTGCACCCGTGTTATGGGTTCCTCCACAGGCCAGAAGAGGGCATCAGATCCTCTGGAACTGGAGTTACAGACAGTTGTTAGCTGCCATGGGGTGCTGGGAAATGAACCCAAGCCCTCTGCAAGAGCAGCCAGTGTTCTTAATCACTGACCCATCTCTCCAGCCCCAACTTTTTAAAAATTTTGTTGTTGTTGTTTTACAAACAGCATTTTAAAAAATCTAACATTCCAACACAGTTCTTACAAATACAGACAGGCTTGATTCTACATATTGAGGAATGACAGTAGGAAAATATTAAAAGTGTGGTTTTTATAATTAAACCACTATATAGGGTCTTAGAACTTTGCATGTCCAGTAAAACTACTACAGTTTATACCATGTAATAGTCCAGAATCTGACTCAGTGTGTTTTAGGCAGCATTTGTGACAGTGCAAGGTAGGAGGAAAAGCACATGCAGTGTTCATGCAGCGTGTGTTCAAAACCAAGACTGCAATGAACTCACAGGATCAACACAAGCAAACATTTTCAGAGACACCTTGTTTGAATCTGAATTAATTTTTGATCATTGTACATTCAGAAATTTTTTATGTTGCCATATTTTATAGCCCTTCCCCACTTCAGATATGTATCCCTGTCAGACAGTTTAAAAAACTGCCCTTGGCCAGTGTTGTCATAAATGGTTGTATATCTTAACTCATTTATTCTTCATAACCAACCATTATCCTCATTTTACATTTAAGAAAAGTTGACTAAAAATGTATGGAAGAGACAAAAATTTAGTGATTGTGTACATTACCAGCCCCAAAGACATATCTTTTATGAATAATTTTAGATGGTTCACTTGGAAAATGTAAGGCACTTCTCATCACTTCAAATTTAAAGAATATCTAAAGCATTAATGTTAATTTATTGTGGTGTTTGGGTTTTTTTTTTTGTTGTTGTTTTTTAAGCAGAATACTATGCAGGTACTTTTCGATTACCTACCTGCTTTTTTGTTGTAGTTTTTCAAAGCAGAGTCTCACTGTGTAACCCAGCCTGGCTTCAGACTCATGATCCTCCTGTCTCAGCTCCTGAGTAGTACAGTTACAAGCCTTAGCCTCCATGCCTGGCTGCCCGTGTGCTTTTGAAATAAATAATTAACATGTATGCCTAAAGTGAATGACTGGAAGTACAGGCTCCTTTTCTGATCTTGCTCTTGACTCTGGATGAGTTGATCCTCTGTATTAATATAGAATGGATAAAAGAGCTAAAGACATCACTGTGCTATCTGAGCAGTTCACAAAATGCCTTTAAGAATGTAATGAAGCATATATATCCTTTCAGGTAAAGTAGTGACCAAAGAGAAGATCCAGGAGGCCAAAGAAGTGTACAAAGAACATTTCCAAGATGATGTCTTTAATGAAAAGGGGTGGAACTACATTCTTGAGGTAAAAAGTGATGCCATCTTTTGATCTGTTTTGGTTTTGTATTTAATTCAAAATTTCTGACTATGGAATTTGAATAGGTTACGCTATGATTATGGCTGTTTTCCACTCCTGATCTGAATATAATGACAATTTGAGACATTCTTAGGAAAAATTAGAGGTGACATTTAATTTCTCCCTCATAGTGTGAATCATTAACATATAAAGTCTTTAAACATTTATACTTAGAAAGATCTAAGTACTATGTTATGTGAGTTAGAATTTAAATAACATTTTTTAGAAAGGTAATTTAGAACATAGCTGGAAAATAAACTTAGAACATGGAAGTACACTAATAGTTAAGAAAGGGCAGGTTATTTGGCGATTTCTAAAGTGATTTCTACTTCTTTAACTGAAAATGAATGTCTCAGTCTATTACTATGTAATAATTCTGGGAAATTTCCCTCACTGAATTTAGAGTAGTTTCGTGTAGATCCACAAAGTTATCTTTATTCTTCATTGTATTGTAATGTGTAATATCTAGTATTTGGAATCTGTTGCTTAAATTTCTGAGCATCTAAACACTGAGAATTGAGTTACAAGACCTGATTGTCCTCTGGTGGGTTTCATTTTGTTTTTGTTGTTGTTGTTGTTGCTGTTTTGGTATTTTTGAGATGGGCTCCCTGTAGATCCATCTAGCCTGGAACTTGCTATGTAGACCAGGCTAGCCTCAAACTCACAGAGACCCTGCCTGCCTCTGCCTCCTCAGTGCTGGGATTAAAGGCAAGCGCCACCACGCCTGGCGCTCTGGTAGTTTCTATATTACTAAACTACACTGGGATTGGAATCAGTCAGCATTTCGCAATGTTATATTAATTTATGTCACACAGATGAAAATCTTGTATGTTGTACAATGTGCCAAGCACATAGTAATTAGAAGTACCTTTAACTTTCAAGCTTATGTTAAAATGAATGAGGTTTGTTATGAGGATGAATTTGCAGTAAGTTAGGTGCTATAATTTATTACTGTGATTTCCAGTGGCCAGTCTTTTAATGATATATTCAGAAAATCTTAGGGTTCACTAGACATAATCTTGTTTGGCTCCATTTTAGGCCAGAAATTGTAAAACAGTATTCTGATGTTTCATGATGCCTCTAGTGTTTTTTTTACTGTGCTTAGTTTTCTAATTTCTGTGACAGCTTCCTTTTTTTTTTTTTCTTTTTTTTTCTTTTTTTTTTTTTTTTTTAAGAGGCAGGATCTCCTGTAGCCCCATCTAGCCTGGAACTCACTATGTAGACCAGGCTGGCCTTGAACTCACAGAGATCTGCCTGCCTCTGCCTCCTAAGTGCTGGGATTAAAAGCATGTGCCGCCATGCCCAGCAGGGAAGGATTTCTGTAAGTTTGCTTTTACCCAAGGGTTAACCAGCCACAGCTTTGAATTTGAAAAGGGTGAGTATGGAGTACAGCTGAAGACCTAGTAAAGTATGAGGAAACAATCACCTGCTTCCTATTGGAGAGAAATACTGCATTAATAGGAAGTCACACACCTCAGACTTAGGCATTCTTCATGCTTTCACATCTATTGCCAGAATAAAATAAAACTTAAAATTCTTCTGCACTGATCCTTCGCTCTCTCTGTTTTCTCTTGTTCTTTAATGCCAGTCTTTCATCTTTCCATCTTTAGCCTTTCTTTTATGAAAATGACCTTTGTAGAACTAGTTAATTGTTGGTGGACTATTCTTAGAATATGTTACAATAAATTTTTCTTTTTTTTCTGAGTGGAAAAAATACTGGTTTTGATCATTTTTTTTTATACTTCTCAAGTGGTAGGTGTTCTTAGCATAAACACCTAACAGCTTTGGCTTAAGAATTAGATCAGTGCTTAAAATTGTTAATAATTTTCACTAATAAAAATTTTGATTTTATTTAGAAGCTAGAGCATATTTGACTAAATTATTGCTAATGATGTAACATCTGTTATTTCTGTAACAATAAAATTGAACTTATACAGTGTAAAGAATCTTAATAACAAGGCAATTGCATATCATCTGCTGAGTGAATGAACAGATGGATTCATTGTTGTCTCCTGCAGAAATATGATGGTCGTCTTCCAATTGAAGTCAAGGCTGTTCCTGAGGGCTCTGTCATTCCCAGAGGAAATGTTCTCTTCACAGTGGAAAACACAGATCCAGAGTGCTACTGGCTTACAAATTGGATTGAGGTGAATTGGTTTTTCTGCTTCTTTCAGAATTCTGTTTTCGTAATAATTGAGGCTGAAAACCAATGAACTGAGAATTTTGGTAAGAGTTTGTTATTAGTAGAGATGTATAATCTACAGTTAAAAGCGAGTGTGGTGGCACATGCCTTTAATCCCAGCACTTGGGAGCAGAGGCAAGGAGACCTCTGTGAGCTCAAGGCCAGCCTAGTCTACATAGTGAGTTCTAGGTTAGCTGGGGCTACAGGGAGACCCTGTCTGAAAAAAGACCAAAGAATGAATAAATAAAAATCTACAGTTAATCTGGGGACACAAACTTGACTTGATTAGACTTAACATATATGGCAGAATGGATGGAGTCTGGTGGGGGAGTGCTATGGGGAGGCACAGATAAGGGAGGGGGTCTAAATATGATTAAGATGTATAAATGCACAAAAATTCAATAAAAATATATACTTAAAAAGAAAAGAAAAATCTATAGTTAAACTCATGTCTCAGTTTCCTCATCAGTGGAATGGTATTTGGACTAAATAATCATTAAGATCCTTCCAATGAATTGGGATGTTTTAAGAGTCTATATAAATCAAATTTTTTTATTTAAAGCTTGATTGACTTCTGCCTTGTAATTCTTTTTGTTTGTTTTGGCATTACTGGGGCTAGAACCCAGAGCTTGGTGCATGCTAGGCAACTCTTTACCTTTGAAGTACACCTCCAGCCATTTTTTTCAAATTTTTATTTTAAGGCAAGTTGTCCAAGCACAACTTGAATTTGCAATTCTCTTGCCTTAACCTCCTGAGCAGCTGGTTCTGCAGGCCTGCACCACCAGGCCCTGCTAATTTTTTGTCATTCTAAGCACATACGATCTTAGAAAAATTAGAAAAGTAGCACAAGTACATTTTTAGTAGTTGAAGACATTTTATATATATTCTGTTCCAATTTGATATTAGGAACTTTGTTCCAACTTTTTTTAAGGCATTTTAAGATTTTTTTATTATGTGCATGAGTGTTTTGCCTGCGTGTATGTATGTAATGTATGTATGTTAAGTGTACTATATGCACACAGTGCCCAAGGAAGCCAGAAATGGGCATCAGATCCCCTGGAACTGGAGTTATAGATGGACAGTTATTGGCCATCATGTGGGTTTTAGGAACCGAACCTGGGTCCTCTGCAAGAGCAGCCAGTGTTCTTAAACACTGAGCCATCTCTCCAGCCCAAATTTGACTTTTTTTAATGTATATGTATGTATGTGTATCTGCCTGCAGGGTCCAGAAGTACTCATTGGATCCCCTGGAACTGGAGTTACAGGCAGTTGTGAGCTACTTGACCTGGGCGATGGGAGCCAGACTCTGGTCCTTTAGAGTAGGAAGCTCTCTTAACTGCTGAGGCATCTCCAGCCCCTGTTCCAACTTTTATGACCACTTTCATCATTCTTTAGTCAGTTCGGTTCTGAGATCTACCACTGATATTTTTCAGCTTTTAATCTAAATACAAACAAGAATTCCTCTTGTTTAATTTCTAAATCTAAAAGGAGAGCCATTTATGTAGGATATTGGTTGTTAAAAGACTTTTGAATTTCCTTACATATATAGTAGTTACACTTTTTCAAAGTTACAGTTTTGATTATAATAATCTATATAGCTTCTTGATCATTTACTGGGCATTTTATCTGTGAGAGGAAATACCCTGGTATGTGACAATAAAATACTATCTGAATGGTATTTACATAGTTAAAATTGACATTTTATAGTGATAAAATTCGTTGTTTTACTGCACAAAATAAAATTTTGGAGAAGGCCCAAGAACATATTTGAAACACATTTTACTAAGTTGACAGAATTTTAAATATTATTAGACTCCTGGTGGGCCATCAACTAATAATAGGCCAAAAATAGACCAGAAAAAAATGTGCAGTCAACTAAAATAAAAGTTTTAACTGGTTTGTACTATACATTAAAACTTCAAATTAACTGTGAACTTGACAATGGATCTTAGTTTTGTATTAGCAGATTTTGATTTTGAAAGGATGATTAGAAACACAAAAGTAGGTGTTTGGGGAGATTGGTTTGGATGGCACTAGAGATTGCACCTAGGGCCCAGGACCTTGGACATGTTAAACATGGACTTGTGCCACTGAGCTATATCCCCAGCCTTGTAGAAGAGTTCTTAACCTTACCATTTAAACTAGTTTAGCCTTGTATCTTAAAAGCCAAAAATCTCAGATAGGAAGCAAGTTCTTCAGTTACAGATACTTTTTTTTCTTTTTAGTTTTGTGACTGATAGTTCATCAGTATGTACTACCTCTTATATCTAGTTGCACTTCCCCCAAAGCAGATATTTACAAGTTGTGAAATAGGGGCCCGTGATAAGGCACAGCAGTTAAAGCGCTTGCTAGACAAGGTGAAGACCAGAGTCAGATCCCCATGTAAATGCCAGGTGAGCATAATGGCCCACTTGTAGTTCCAGTCTCTGAAGGCAGAAAAGGAATCCCAGAGCCAACAGGCCAGGGAGACTAGCCATACCAGTGAGCTGTGGATTTAATTGAGAGACCCTGTCTCATTGCATAAGAAGAGTAATCGAGGATAATTCCCACGTCAGCCTTGGGCCTCCACATGCACATATAAACAGCCACACCACATGCTAATGAAAAATGGAAAAGGGGGAGGCAGGGAGTAAATAGTATCAGTCCACCTTGCCCTTTGTGTATTCCTTTTTCCTCTTCTGAAAGTGATTGTTTAATGATTATTGTTATCTTTAGTGTATTTTACTGAGGAACCACAAAGTGAAAAAATTTACATCAGAAATCTTGGAGTAGTACTTAAGAAATACATGAATATCATTTGTTCCCCTCCCTTCCTCAATAAGTATCATTTTTAATAAAAATTAAAATGGGGCCTGCACACAGATGAGCACCTCAATTCTGATTCCCAGCTTCCACTTAGAAATCTGGTATGACTCTGTACCCCTATAACCCTAATGCTGGTGGGGTAGAGGACAGGAGGATTGCTGGGACTTGCAGGCCACCAACCTAGCCAAAAAACAGTGCGCTCCAGATTCAGTAAGACACAAAGTGTCGAGGGAAAAATGCTGAGAGTGTTAGAGAAGGGCACTCGGCATCTTCCTCCGGCCTCTGCAGGGGCACACACACACACACACACACACAATTACTAGACATAAGTTGAATGTGCACTATTAGATTTTGTTTAAATAATTGCACATCTAGTCACTGTGTTTTTGAGGGTTCTTTGAAGAAGTTCATCTTACTCTTACCAATCCTCAGCCCTAAGTTTACTATCTTTATATGAGAAATCTGGTGCCAGATACAAGCCAACTTGCTACTTACAAACTTGAAGATGCTCTTGATTTAAAGCATGTTAGATAGCACCAAGTAGCTAGTTCAGTTCCCTTTCTGAGTGAGTGAGTGTTCAAAATTGTTAATAACATTGATTGATTCTCACCTATTGAGTATTGATGCCAGAAGAAGCCTTAGTCCTCATGAGATCTCAGCCAGGTTTAAGAAAGCCTAGGTGTTCTGCAAAGGATCTTGAGCCTTATGGTTAGATGAAGAACAAGCATATTAGACCAAACACTCCTATGAGCAAGAAACAGAGCGAAACCTTTCTGGTACTGAAAAGATGTTTTTGAAAAAGTAAACTGATGAAATAATGATTTTGTAGTTGGGAAACCTGAGGCTTGTCAAGTGAGCAGATAGATGAATGGCATAGCATGGCCTATGTTGTGTGTCTTCTGTTCTGCAGGGCTTTTGTACTGCACAGTTACGCTGCAGTGAGCACTCTGAAAACTTTGCAGTGCTAAAAACTTTTCTCTTGATCTCTGTGGACAAATTGCTGCTTGGAAAAGTTTCCAACAAGGCCTACCTCATTACTTGCTTTTTTTTTTTTTTTTTTTTTTTTTTTTCACCCTTGCTTACACCTACAGTGATCTTTTTTAAAGGGGAATAATTTTGTTAAAAGTATAATTTAAGCTGATTTTGTTGGACTGTGGGAAGGAAGTGGTATGCAGGAGCAGTGTCTGGTAGTTATTTCTCTCCTTCCTTCCCTGGCATTTTTTCAAGGGGTAAGGTCAGTCTTCTATCTTTATAACTCAACTAGAGTTTTTCACGTTTTGTTTTGTATCTGTCATACTCCTAAATAAAACTGCTGATAACTGAGTTTAATTAAAATACGGGGATTGAATTGATTCAACAAATGAATATGAATTGGGTGTTCTGCCATTATCACCCCGCCTGCCCCCCCCCCAAATTCTTGGCACAAAAATTAGAATATGTCTTATCAAGGGCCCTAAAAGGAGAGGTGGCAGTTTGTTAGATTAAAATCATGAAAAAATAATGCTGGGTTGGCACCAAAAAAACAGGTAATTCTGTCTAAGGACTCATAGAAAGTGGTTGGTGGCAGAGCTGAGGGAATGGCACATAGTTCAGCAAATATTGCAGTGTAAAAACAAAAGCTGTAGTAAGTGATGAACTTTTAAGATTGTAAACTTGGGCAAGATCATGGAAAAGCGCAATTCTGTTTGGATTGCCTTCCTTCCCTTCCCATACCTTGGACAACAGATGGCTATTAAAAGTGACTTGAGGGGCTGGAGAGATGGCTCAGTGGTTAAGAACACTAGTTGTTCTTGCAGAAGACCCGGGTTCGAATCCCAGCACCCACATGGCAGCTAACAACTGTCTGTAACTCCAGTCCCAGGGGATCCGACAGCTTCTTCTGACCTCCGTGGGCATTGCATGACACAGATGCACTTACCTACACTCAGGCAATACACGTATACATGTAAAATAAAAATAAAATTTTTTTTAAAAAAGTAACGAGTAGAAGTTTGTAAAGAATGACATGACCTGACTAAAACTTGCATTGGAATTGCAACAGTGACAATATGAGGGCAAGTCACAGAGACTAAAGATTAGTGGAAGGAGAATCATGGCATCAGTGGTGGAATCAGAAGAGGAATTTCAGGAGCAGAGGCATCAAAGAGTAGAGGTGATTGGTTATAGAATATAAGTTAAGAGTTGTATCACCTTCCTGTTGTATAACAAATTATCCTCATACTTAGTAGCTTACCATTGTTTCCCATGATTCTGTGGTTCCCTGGATGGTCCTCTGCTGGTCTTGCTGGACTTAAATACCTATTCAGCTGAGAGTTCAGCTAGGCTAGGCAGTCTCCAGTGGCCTCACACCCAGGCCTGGAACCTCCACTGAGAGAACTGGGACTGTTTGGCCTTATACTTGACCACACTGGATGTAACAAAACAAAGTAGAGCTACAAAATCTCTTGCAACTGGGGCATGGAACTCAACACATTTCTGCTTTGTTCTCATCAAAAAGTAGTCATAGGATAATCCAAAATCAAGTGATGAGGAGTAGACTAAGATAGGCAGATTGGTGTGTCTCAGTTGTTTAATTATTTCATTTACTGATCTTGTAGCTCGTTTTTAGTAAATGTTTACGTTATAAAGTGTTAAGTCAAAAATGAAATATCTTTTTGGCTCAGCTCAGATATTGTTAACATTTTAGCAGCTCTTTCTAGAATAGAAGCAGCTTCTGATAGCATACTGCCAGGCTTAGAAAATAAAAATGGAAATATATCATGCTAGAATAAAAAAGAAAATTGCCAAGCCAAAATAACTAATGTGATTAAGCATTAGATTCTCTTAGGAGTTTCCTGGCAGCTAAGAAAAAAAAAGTGGGAAAAAAACAGTTCTTACTAGAAAGAACCTAGTAATTCTAACACTTCCTCCTTATATTGCAAAATAAGACAGTGACTTTATAGTTAGACAGCATATACAGAAATTGTTTCATACAGCTTTCTTACAAGCTTTGATAAAAGCTAAGTACACAAAGCATAGGTCCGTGAGTAGAATTCTCTAGTGCAAGCTAGTATCAGTACTCTTGCTAGATCCAGGTCTGTCTAGAGGAGTAAAGAAGTGACTACTCTAAACAAGTACTGTTAGATCTGGTCCATAAATCAGAGCTAAATCATGAGCCAGTTTGATGCAGGTCCACACCAAGTATTAAAATATAGAATAAGTATTTAGGAATTTGGGACAATTTGGTGTTGCCTCAATATCCAAGTATTAAAACGTCAGTCCACGGGAGTTGAATTTTTTTTAGTTAATCCTTCACCACAGTCTTTCAAAACATTATTTGCTTCTTTGGAACTTTGAATTGAAACTTGAAGTTTGAAGTTCTCTATTGTTGAGAGCTTGGAATGCCTCATCTGCTGCCGATTGGAGAGCTGAGCTGTATGCTGCATCTGCAGTGCATATTCTCCTGTGCCCTAAGGGGCCTGATTGAAGTCTTTAATAGTCTAGAAGTCCAGAACATTCCTCCAGAGAAAGCTAGAATTCCCCCATAAGGAACCAAGTATTTTATGTTAATATACATTGTTAATTTTGTTGTTACAGACTATTCTTGTTCAGTCCTGGTATCCAATTACAGTGGCCACAAATTCTAGAGAACAGAAGAAAATATTGGCCAAATATTTGATAGAAACTTCTGGTAATTTAGATGGTTTGGAATACAAGTTACATGATTTTGGCTACCGAGGAGTCTCTTCACAAGAGGTAAGAAATCAACATGAACCTCACATAATACAATGGATTGTCAGTGGGAGACCACTGCCAACTTCTCACAGTGTTACTGGAACTGATCTTGCTTTAGACCACTTGTTAAAATTCTGGAGCCTTGGTCAAAGGAAAGGAAATACCTACTATCAGCCTCTGTTCCCAGTACATGGGCTACATCCTTCAGCATGTGCCCCAGTCCTTTGGTGGAGAGAGAGACAAAGAGGCTCAGTGAAGATATCAGGTGCACAGAATACTACAGAGCAGCACAGCTTCGGGATAAAAGGGAACTATAAGAAGCCAAGCTGTGCAAACAGAGTGATTCTTTTTCAAGTTTTGGTTTATGGTTGATCTTTCAGACTGCTGGCATAGGGGCATCTGCTCATTTGGTTAACTTCAAAGGAACAGATACAGTAGCAGGAATTGCTCTGATTAAGAAATATTATGGAACGAAAGATCCTGTTCCAGGCTATTCTGTTCCAGCGGCAGAGCACAGGTAAAATTCAATTTTTTCTCATCTTCCTGTTAAATACTTGTTTTCTGAGAGTGAGGGATGTAGCTTAGTGGTTAGAGCACTTGAATTACATTTGCAAAGCCCTGGGGTTCTAGCCAAAGCACTACAAACAAACAAAATTGCTTTCTAGCACTAATTCATTTGAATTGGGTATTTGGGACTCAGTGCGATCTTACTTGACTACAGAGCCAGATGCTACACTAAACCTTCACGAAAGGGACAGTACAAATTGAGGATTTATACTTCTTAGGAAAATTAGAATTAGGCAAGTCTAGAACTTGGAACTACTATAGACAAGCAAAACAATTTAAGATTTTTTTTTCCCCAACATTTACAGTTGCCATATTTTATTTTAAGCACTGTATTTTTTTATTTGTTGTATTGAATATACAGATAGATTTTCTTCATTAAACGAAGTCTGGAAACATTGTAAGTACTAGTTACTTTTTCCCTTTTTGCTATGTGAGGTTGCCTGTCTTTGCTCAGAAAATTGTCATCTGGACCCAGTACCTTCAGTTTGAGACAAGCCATTTTAATGAAAAAGGGTGTTCAGTCTTCGGGATGTGCTTCCTTATTTACTAAACCGTCTCAGGGTACACTAGGAAAGCATAATCCAGATTGTAGAGTTAACTTTATTGTATGGCAAACCTTGTTTCTAGTTCTTAACATTATTTACTATAGTCATTCAGGAGTGTTTAAAGTTCTTCTTGTGCTTTGAAATTACATAATCCTGAAACTAGGAGTGAGTTTAGAATAAATCTGGCTTTATTATTGTTTGATACAATATTAATTGAACAGTTTTCATGTACAAGGCAAGGAACAGAAGGATATCTACAGCTGACCCTTTCAAGATAAAAATAGTACACTAGTAATGGTCTGCTCTGTTGGTTAGGCATTTTTATTTAAAGAGGTGCTAGGTGCTGTTATATGTAGTGGTACAAGGTAAATTAGGAAGGGTCACATCCATTGGCAGAATCAGAAAATCTTTTATAGAGATAATATGTGCACTCTTTGACTTCTTGAGGGAATGATGAAATTTGATCATTTTCTGAGTAGTATTGTTTTTATGTTTTATGTATGTCAAGGATTATGATAAAAGAAGAATATGTTGAAGAGTAAGGGCTGAAACAGGTGATAGAATAGACTGAGATGGACTTACAGTTAATTTATGCATAATTTATCCAGAGCCTCTAAGTTCATTTTGACGTTGAGTGTTAACTACATGCACATCATGCTGGCTTCTTTCTTTTTTGCCTGATGTAGCCCAGGCTGGCCTTGAATTCCTGATTTCTCTGCCTCCATCTACCAAGTGCTGGGATTACACTCATCTCTGGCTTACTCTTAATTAGGAATTTTCGAATAGAAGCAGGCTCTAAAGTTTTGAGCAAATAAATGATATATTGGAGATAGATTTTATATTATTTTGATAACAGGAAAAAAAAAAAAAAGAAAGAAACAAACAAAACCAGAATCTGGGCTTCCTAGGAAATTTACAGTAGTCATGAAGAGAGTAAAGACTGAGAGCCAAGTGGCTAGATAAATGGGAAGAGATGATAAACATGAATCACTTATGGACCAGGTCACAGAACCATATAGCTTTCCGTAAGCCTGTTCAGTTCTCTCAAGAATTCAGAAAAGCCTAACTTCTTTCTGTTTTCTAACCATGCTTTCCCAAACACTTTGGGTTGCCCTAACAGTTTCAATTTTTCACTTTAAAATTCTTTAAAACTTCCCATCAAGTGGTTGCAGGTTCACCCCTTTTCCAGTTTCCATGCTGGCTTTAAACCTGCATGACTTTATGGCTTTTTTCCTTCTCCATTCTCCTCCTCTGGGCAACTGCTGAGATTTACAGCTTACCTACCCTGTAGATTTTTCTTAAACTTTTTTAAAAGAGGCGGGGCAGGCTGGAGAGATGGCTCAGCAGTTAAGAACACTGGTTGTTCTTGCAGAAGACCCAAGTTCGAATCCCCGCACCCACATGGCAGCTAACAACTGTCTGTAACTCCAGTCCCAGGATCCAACAGCCTCTTCTGACCTCTGTGGGCATTGCACGACACGGGTGCACTTACCTACATGGCAGGCAATACACGCATACACATAAAATAAAAATAAATACATGAAATTTTAAAAAAACAAAACAGGCCTAAAGCTTTTTAAAAAATAGGAGATAGAATGGCTAAAACTTTAAAATAAACAGAATCTTTTCCTTTGCATCATTTAATTGGAGGTGAACAGAGTAGAGGCCAAATCTAGAAAATTTAGAAAATTGTGGAGAAAGAAAAATTGATTGCCCTAATGAAAATGTGGATTTTCAAATTAATGGGTAAATTCCATTAAAGAATTTTCAAATTATTTACAGGTATATGTTCATTGACCAACAGATACTTATAGCACATTAATCTATTCAGTTAAAATATTATTGAAGGTACTACAAAAACCACAATAGTCATTCTTCCCTAATAGAAAATTTCATGCTTTATTTCCTACCTTAAATTATGTTTTGCTTAAACTAAACATTAAGATTCTTAATTTTGGACATATATTAATGAATCGATAACCTATGATAATACATGACTCCATAAATGCAATGAGCATTTGAAGATACTGTAGGTAGAGTTAGATAGCTATATATAGTGATGTAGTATAAATAATTGCCTCTATGTGTAAGATTTTGGAAGGTGAAAAAGAAAATATATCTGTACTACTGTTGGTGTATGACTTCAGAAATTCATGGACGAGATTCAAGTGCTTACATTGCCTAGCAAATTAATGGGAATGGATACTCTTCCTTTCTCACATCTGGCATAATGTATGTACGGAGGGCTGCAGGTACTTTTTAGATCAGCGGCTTTGAATGAGATGTTTCAGGAATACTAAAACAAAAGCCAGTTTATAATTGGTTGAATCTTATTTAAGAGCTAAGTAATAACTACTAGAGCTGAATATAGTTAACTTACAGTGTTAATAACAAAATGGCCAAGGGGTGGTTTGACCCAAATACTTTCTTTTCTGATGTGTGCTCATTAAAGTAAATCACTTCCTGTGATGTTGGTGATGTAGTATAGTAAAGACAGCTAATGATGCTTCAGAAATGGGCAGTGTGTCTGCTTAAGTAAATCTGTTTTCATTTTGTTTTCTAGTACCATAACAGCTTGGGGGAAAGACCATGAAAAAGATGCTTTTGAACACATAGTAACACAGTTTTCATCAGTGCCTGTGTCTGTGGTCAGCGATAGCTATGACATTTATAATGCATGTGAGAAAATTTGGGGTGAAGATCTAAGACATTTAATAGTCTCAAGAAGTACAGAGGCACCACTAATAATCAGACCCGATTCTGGAAATCCTCTTGACACTGTATTAAAGGTAAATCTTAATATGTAGCTTCATTATAAAATGCCTGTACAGCTGCTTCAACATTTTGCACTTACATATACACATTTCAGAACTTACTGTTTTTCTTTACTTTGTATAATTTGGAAGACGGGAAGAAAAAAGAATATGTTGAATTGCTTTATGGTATGAGTCGATTTAAATAGGAAAGAACATACCTGTTTCTAATGAGATTAAAAGGGATTGGGACCAAATTCGTAAAGTTTTATACAGTGTTAAAATTGTTTAAAGTAACTGCATTTTTGTTTTCTCAAGACTGTTTAACATAGTAAAATCTTTTTTTTTTTTTCTTTTTTAACTTGGAAGCGTTTTTTTCTTTTTAAATTTCAGTTATTTGTGTCATGTGTTTTTTATACAGGTTTTGGATATTTTAGGGAAGAAGTTTCCTGTTACTGAGAACTCAAAGGGATACAAGTTGCTGCCACCTTATCTTAGAGTTATTCAAGGAGATGGAGTAGACATTAATACCTTACAAGAAGTAAGTGTTTATATGAAAAGTTCCAATAACAAAATCCTTATCTCCTTAAATAGCACCTTTTATTTCATAAGCAACACACTAAAAATTTAAATACAGTTATTAGTCTTATTTTGAATTTTTGTTATGGTGGTATATGCCCTTTTTGTGCATTGCTTAAAGTTTAGAAATAGCTTAAAATACAGGAATGGTAGCCAAAGCATACTTACTTCTTCAGTCCTCAGTGTTCACCTTACATGATTATTCTAAAGAAGTATCACCAAGAAAAAAATGTCAATCACAGAATGTTCCTTGTAGTATGAAACAGAAAGTCTTGACTACTAACCTAGGTCTGAGTTTTAACAAAATGGAGCTTCACAATGTAAACATTCTTAACAATATAAAACTCAAATGAGATTAATAAGTATATTTTCAGAAATTGTAAAATGATTTTGACACCTTTTCTAAACTAGTATTGACATCATTGTTAGATTTAGTCAAATAGTGTGCTGTATTGTCTTAAAACTTTTGCTTCTTTTATTTCCCCAGATAAACTTCTTAGGAGCTATAGTTCTTTTTGCTAATGCCTTAAATACTCCATAAAAATTAAGAATATGGTGGCTGGAGAAGATGGCTCAGGGGTTAAGAGCGCTGGTCACTCTCAAAGAAGACCTGGGTTCAGTTCCCAGAACCCACTTAGCAACTAACAACCATTCATAACTCCAGTTCCAGGGGATCTGATGCCCTCTTCTGACCTCCAGGGGCATTGCACAACATGGGTGCATTTACATACATGCAAGCAATACACTCATACACATAAAATTTTAAAAAAAATAAATTAAAAAAAAAATTAAGAACACTGCTAACACCATGTCATGGACTGTGTGCTATCTTAAATCTGGCATTTGATTTGATGTGTGCCAGTCTCAGATGGGATACAGTTGTATAACATAAGTTATTAAAAGATTCTGGTTGAGTTTGCTGTGTATGATGGTTATTATTCATTCTCAACTTGACAGCCTAGAATCACCTAGGAAGAAAATCTCAGTGAGGGATTTTGTACCTTGAATGACCTGTTAGCATGTCTATGAGGGACTGTTTGGTTCACATTAATACCTTAGTTGAGGTGGGATGATCTCCTATTTTGGGCAGCACCATTCCTGGTATTTGGGTCTTGGACTGTAATGGGTCGGGGGAGGCAAACACAAGTATGCATATAAAAATATAAATTCATTCTCTCTACTTTTGACTTCATTGCTTCAATTCCTGCTGCCTCAACTTCCCTGCAGTGAGGGACTGTAATGTGGAATTGTGAGCCAAATAAACCCTTTCTCCCCTGAGTTGCTTTCTTAGGGTGTTTTATCACAACAGAAAAAGAAACTAAGGCAGTGTGGTTCAAGTCATTACCCAAATTATAAGTAGTTTCTCAGAAATTGATTAGAAAATAAGAGAAATATTCGAAAATATGATATATAACAAATAGTTTTTGTTGTTGTTGTTATTTTTGGTCTTTTTGAGACAGGGTCTCCCTGTAGCCCCAGCTGTCCTGGACCAGGCTGGCCTTGAACTCAGAAAGATCTGCCCACCTCTGCCTCCCATGTGCTGGGATTATGCCCGGCCACAGAGTATTTTTATGGACATGTGTGTTAGAGTTCCAGAGTGAGATGTCTGGAGTAGATCTCATTTGCAGTAACAGAATGACAGATTGCTTCTACCTGCTTTTCCAAACTGCCTTGCTTCAGTAGAAACTCTTCAGCTTCTCTAAGACATTGGATATTGACATTGAGTTTTCATTTGAGAACGAAAGAAGTGTTAATAGAAGAGAAGCCTACGATGGAAGGTGGAAAGCCTGCAGTGTGCACATCAAGGCTGGTACATTGTAATTGCTCTTGTCCCCATCTCTGAGTTGAACTGGTAGTTTGTAGATTTGGTGCTGATTGAGTATTGTGAGCCATATCTGCGTTCAAGACACATAACCAGTATGCACAGTGAGGTTTCAGTGAGGGACCATGGACAATTTTCTGCTGGTTTCAGAAACTGCTTTTCTCATTGTACGGTTGACCCTTCTTTGTTCCTGTTGTTACTGCTGAGTTCTTCAATCAACTATTTGAACTTCCCCCTAAATAACAAAGTGCTTTTTCCCCTCCTCTTTCTTTTCTTTCCCATTGTTTGTTTTTAAAATAAACTTTGAGAATGTATGTATATTTTGAAAGCCAAGAATTAACTAAATTTTTTGACTTTTTACCTTTTGAATATTTTTTAGTATTAACAGAACTTTAAGCAGTCACAATTGGATAGTTTTGTGTTGATGCAAATCATGGGATATAGGAAGAATGTCTTAAACTGAGTTCCCACTTAAGCAAGGCAGTTTAGAATAGCTGAAGGAAACCTATGCCTAGAAGATAGTACTTAAGGTCTTTGTATTGGAAGTGAGTCAGGCATGGTGTTAGAAACAGGAAAAGAAGTTCATCTAACTGGGTACATATGCTAGTCAGGTGCCTTAGTTTTGATTAAATGGGGGTGGGGAACTTTATTTCAACAAGCTGCTGCCTTTTCTTGATTACCAGCCTCATTCTTAAATTTTGCTATTTAAGATTCAATCTCCCTGGGAAATCCTATAAGGTTTATAGTGTAACCCTGCTCTAGGTTTTTTGTTTTCCACTGTGAACCAAAATGAGTCTGCTTATTTAGTTTAAAAAAAAAAAAAAAAGGCTAGAAATCTCTTTCATATTAGACAAAATACAAAGTGTCCATCTTTCTATTTATGTCTCAAGGATTTGATCTCCTTGGGTGTTACTGAAATTTCTCCATTAAGTGACTTACTAATGTCATTAGAATTGTATTGACATCTCAGATTGGTAAGAAAAAGATTTCTTTGAACCTCTAGAGACTTCAAGTACTTTTGTTTTCAAATTCAGTTTTATCTTACTATTTTATGTGTAGGTTAATATGCTTTGTTCCTTTCTTCTCCTCCAACTATCCTACTATTCTTTTCCTAAGATGCTTCCTCATTACATCTTTTGGATGTTTCCCCTGCACGTTACAGCTTTGATCTGGGAACTTAGAAGACATTGGCTTTATGTGTTAAAAAAAAAAAAAAAAGAAAAGTTTTTTTAATTCTACTTTATGTGTGTGAGTGTATTGCCTCCATGTATGTAATTGCATTCATGTCATGCAGTGCCTGCAGAAGTCAGAAGAGGGTGTCAGAGCCCCTGGAACTGGAGTTACAGACTGTTTTTAGCCACCATGTGGGTGCTGAGAAGCAAACACAGGTCCTCTACAAGAGCAGCCAGTGCTTTTAACCACTGAGCCATGTCTCCAGCCCCACTTTTAAGTAAATCGTAGTAAGAACAAATTATTTTTTTGATCTGCATAAATAAATGACATAAGGTGCAAAAAGCACTTGCACATCAGGACACAAATCAAATGAATGCCTATTGACAAATAATTAAATTCTAACATCATAATGACTTCTCAGCTGACTTAGATACCTTGGTATGAAATAGGAAAACCTCTTACTCAAAGAGTAGTATTTTGTCAATTTGTGTCTAAGTGGATTTTTTCTGATTTTCTTTTTTTTTTTTTGGTCTTTTTTGAGACGGGGTCTTCCTCTAGCCCCAGCTGGCCTAGAACTCGCTATGTAGACCAGACTGGCCTTGAACTCACAGAGATCCGTCTGCCTCTGCCCCCTGAGTGCTGGGATCAAAGGCGTGTGCCACCACACCCAGCTTTTGTGAATAGTTTTAAGTAGTCATTTTTTCATAACAGAATTTTCCATTAAGACAAAGATTCATGTTAGCTCAAAATTATCTACCTTTTATTCCTTAAGAGTAGAGAAACTTGACCTGACATGAAGTACAGTGAAATGAAATTGGGTATTATTGTTCACTATTGTGCATCATATCTAAAAATCAGATGGAGGGCTAAAACTATTCTCCATATTTTACCCAAACTATTTCACTCTGCTATTTCCAGGAAACACTTTTTCTCTGTTTTCCATTCTACTCTTTGCATTTCTTTCATATTGAAGTTCACTTTGTTCACAGTCATCTCAGTGAAAAAAATAAACCTGTGTTTTAAGGGAATTTGCATGCCTTTGGGTTCAGGTACAGTAGTAGACACAGGACTAAATTTGTATAAAACCTAAAGGAATCACGTTAAGCTATTTTCCACCTTGATTCTTCTCATTAAAAACTATATACTGGTTTTTAAAAAGGAGGAGAATTAGACAATTGGAATTTTTAAATGAATATTTTTCGGTGTTTAAAATATGTGGGTGTTTGGGGTTTTGATTCTTTTTGCAGTGTTGAAAGTCAAAACAGAAGACCAATTTGAGATTTTAATATTTGGGGGATTATGATAGCTTTGTACTAATGAGCAGTCACATAAAAGCTACTAAGCTGGCCTCTTGACTTTCTGATCACTTTTGTGAATTTTTTTTTTCCCGACTGGATATTTATTGATATAAAATATATACTACATTAACTTCAGAGTATATTTTAATTATTTATTTAATAACCACATTCTTAGAAGAAGCATTTCATTACAACAGCATTGGCATATTCAATAACAATTTCCAGAGCTCAGATGCATCTCTTTCAAAATTGGCTATAAATTTTTAGGTTTACAGTTGAATTAATATACTTATATAATATTGTACTTAGTATAAACCCTATAAGACATAAAATTAAATGAGGTTTTAACCTTTAAAAAAGATCTCCATTTCATTATTAAAATACACAGTTTCATACAGAAAAATTCATTTTTAATGCAATTGAGACTAAGATGTTTGCACATGCATTTCTAACCTCTGATTATTACTAGTCATAGTCGGTTACTTTCTGAGCTCCTTGGCATCTGTATGGCTATAAAGTCATCAGGTAGATTTCACTGGTAATGTTTATCACCTCTACTATTTAACATGAAGTAAATTTTTATGCTTCCTCCTCAAATATATCTGTTTTTAAATTTTTTTGATT